TATTATATGTTAACTAGGATTCTTGTGTGTGTTCAAGTCTTCACTTGACACTTAGCCTCCTATACAATCCGTACATCCAAACCACTCACTACAGGTGAGTTCATACCCCTTAATTAACCTTTTAAATGATTTTAAATGTTTTTATGGGGGGGGGGAATACAAGTTGAACAATTATAGTTATTATATCAATCTCATGTGATTAATAACTACCAAACAAGTGGATTTCTTACTTTCAAACTGTGTTACCAAACTGTTTACTTCAAACTGTTTTATAAACTCGTTTTCATATCAAATACTTTTATTAAACTCTTTTAACTTATATTCTGTGTATCTATGTAGATATAGTTATATAAGTAGGATTGAAAGGACTTAGGACTGATAAATCACCTTACTTCCTGTTCCTTGTTTGGTTGTGGACTTAGGGTATTCAAGTTATTTGTCCGAAGGTCGTTTGAATCCTAGTTATATATCATGTATATGTGTATAGATATAAAAGGTTACTTCATACAGTTCAATACCTTTGGGTAGCGAAGGTATACAAACATGTTCATACATTCAAACAACATTACTAGTAAACTAATAATAGTAGGTAGTTTAGGGAGATACTAATACTATTACTAGAACAGTGAAACATTCAATGAGTCAGTTCATACATCAGTGAATAACAAACAAACAATAGATAATATGATGAGAAACAAATAATAGATACTATGATGAGAAACAAACAATAGAATACTATGATGAGAAACAAACAATAGAATACTATGATGAGAAACAAACAATAGAATACTATGATGAGAAACAAACAAAAGAATACTATGATGAGAAACAAACAATACATGCTAGACAAGGAGAAAACACACAAATATAGACATTAATATACTTATGATCTTACCAGCTTTAAAGCTGATAAACCCTTTCAAAATAACTTGTATTCTCAGGTCACCAGTAGACATGTACCGGTGCCAGGTTTTGAGAAGATGGAGCTCGTTCAAGACTCATCTTTTATTTTGATGTATATATTTGGTGTCTATATAACTTGACAGAGCACACTTGTATGAAATTATATTATTAATGCAATGGATGATGTTGTTGCTTGTTTACTACTTTGCATTGTTGTGATACTGAACATGACGTCCTCCACCCCCGAACGTTTCCGCCGTTCCGGTTTTGGGGTGTGACACCTCGTGTTCCCACATAAATTCTAGTATTTGTAGATAGTTCCATCGCACCTTCACTATAGGAATATAACTTTGCTTACATTGTTTGACTTCTCGATCCATGATTTCCACTGGTTCTTCGACAAAGTAGTTGGATCTCATCGAGAGGAATAGCAAGAGTGTCATCAGACAAACGCTTCTTAATATTTGAGACGTGAAAAACATTGTACACATTGTTTAGCTATTGAGGAAACTTAATTCAATACGCAACAGGACCAATTCTGGAAATAGTTTTGAAAGGTCCTATGTATCGTGGGTTTAGCTTTTCTCATTTTCCAAACCGAATAAATTTCGTTCCAAGAGGAGAATTTCAATATCATGCGATCTCCAAATTAGAATTCCAGAGGCTTACGTCTCACGTTAGCAAAACTCTTTTGATGATCACATGTAGCCTTTAGTCGGTCCTTGGTTTTCATGATAGTATTGAAACCATTGGGCGTCTTTGGTAGTTTTGTGATGAAGTTCGTTGAGATACGTTCACACTTCCATTTGGGAATCTCCACTTGTTGGTGTAAACCCGAGGGCTTCTGATGCTATGCCTTTACTTTAGAACAGGCCAGGCACTTGCCCACATAAGTGGAAATCTCACCTTTCATGTTTTGCCACCAATATAGCTTTTTCAAATCTAGGTACATCTTGTCAGAGCCTTGATGACTGAAGCATTTTAGTCTATGAGCTTCATGCAAGACTAAGCTTATGATGTAACCGAAGTTAGGCTTCCAAATTAGGTGCATTATGTACTATGTTTCGTTATCCCTAAGCTTAAATTACTTATCCATTCCTTGTAAATCTTCACTCGTGATGTTCTCTTCTTTCAGAGCCTCAAGTAGAGCTTCTCAAATTCATGTGGTAAGGTTTGAATGGATACTCATCGTAAAAGCACGTTCCTATCAGGCTTTGGCACATTATATACTGCCCAAGGCATCTGGCACAACATTCTCCTTGCTGAGATGATATCTAATCTCACATTTTTAATCATTCAATAGTTCGACCCATCTTTCTTGTCTCATGTGGACTTCTTTTCACTCGAATATGTGTTGTAGATTCTTGTGATTAGTAGTGATGGTGCACTCCGTACCTTACAAGTAGTGTCTCAATATTTTCAAAGAAAAAACTATAGCTCCTAACTCAAGGTTATTGGTAGTGTAGTTGCTCTTTTGCACTTTGATTTGTCTCAATGCATAAGCAATGAATTTGTCTCTTTGCGTCAATACGCACCCCAGTCCTCTATGGTACGTGTTTCAGTATACGAATATGTTTTCTGTTCCTTTTGGAAGGGACAAGATTGGTGCACTGCACAATATATGTTTGACATTTTGGAATATCGCCTCTTACTTGTCTTCCTTGTTGAACTTTTTTTCCTTCCGTGTCAATTTTGTGAGGGGTTTAGCTATGTTGGAGAAGTTCTTAGTGAATCTCCAAAAGTAACAAGCAAGACCCGAGAATTAGCGCACTTCATTTGGCATCTTTGGCGCTTCCTAATTCTTGATTGCTTTAATTTTTTAAGGGTCGATGACATCCCATTGTTGCTGACCACATGCCCACTAAAATGTACTTCTCTAATCCAATACTCACATTTAGAGAATTTGGGGTACAACATCTACTTTCGTAGAAGTTCCATGATTAACTGTAAGTGTTGGTCGTACTCTTCCCTAGGTCGTGAGTATATCAATATATTATCGATAAACATAATTACATATTTATTCTAGTATGGTTTACAGACACGGTTTATAAGATCCATGAAGATTTTTTGGGCATTGTTCAGTCCGAAAGATATAATTAAGAACTCTTAAATCACCATATCGAGTCCTAAAACCATCTTTGGAACGTATCCTTCTTGTACTCTTAGATGATGGTATACGATTCGAGATTTTTCTTCGTGTAGTAGATGGATCCTTGTTACTAATCGAGCATATCATTGATTATTAGGAGTGGTTAACAGTTCTTGATTTTTAGTTTGTTAAACTCCCAATAATCAATGCACATCCAATAGGATTCATTCTTCTTCTTATCAAACAGAATTGTCGCTCCCCAAGGCGAGAAGTTAGTTCTGATAAAGCCTTTGACAAGAAGTTCTTATAGACCGATACTGCATGTTTTCTTGTCTCTAATTTTCTTGAATATCACATAAAGTTCTTGTTGCCATGCCAACACAACACACACAAAAATACAAATATGAATTTATTTACAAGAAAAAAATCTTTCTTATCCAATTGTATTTTCATTTTACTTATCTTACACAATTCTACTGTCAGTTTTATTCCTAGTTATACTTTGAAAAATTTTCCCAAACATATTTACAAGATTTAGAAGATGCACCCATGAAGCTGAAGTCAAAAGTATTTGCCACCTTTATATATTCATATGCATACACAAGAAAAGAAGAACATGAAGTTCAAGTCTACTACAATAAATCCAGTTATGAACATTTACCTTAGCTGCTAAGCAAGAAATGAGTTTGTCAGCATCTTTGACTAAATCATCCATTAAACTGCCCTCAGGGTCATTGCTTGCAGCTGCCAACTCATGGCACGTAACTTTCATGCCTTCAACAGACTGCAAATCAACACTCTATAAGTTTTAATATACATCTAATTATCACCAAAAAAAAACTATAAAAATGTAAACAAGGAGAATTAAAACATGATCAGGGGAGCCGTATGCACCATGTGACTTCATTCGTTCAAGAACAATTGCCAACGCAGGTCCTTGAATATCTCTTACATTATTCATGACCTTAATAAAGTGAATGAAAACAAAACATCATCATTAGTTGAGATTTCAGAAATGGTAAAAGGAAAACAAAAAAGATGAAAACATAAGGTTGTGTTTAGTTGTGGAAAAACGGTTTTCATTTTCTGTTTTCTGTTTTCCGTTTTTAGTTTTCGTTTTCCGTTTTCAGTTCTCATTGGAAAATTTAGAAAACGCGTTTAGTTAAATCATATTCATTATTCATTTTCTGTTTTAGAAAATTAGAAAACGCGTTTAGATGTGTATTTTTCTATGAGTTTTCATTTTCCAATTTTTGTGGGTAGGGGTGTGGGTCTGTGTGTATGTGTGTGTGTGTGTGTGTGTGTGTGTGTGTTTGTGAGGGTGGGCTTGGGAGTGGGTAGGTAGGGGTGTGGTGAGTTGGGGGTGTTAAGGTGGGGGTAGGTAGATGTGGGTGGGATGGGAGTGGGTGTGTGTTTATATTTTAGAAAAAATTTGGAATTAGAAAAATATGGAAAACAATGATTATTGGTTTTCCAAAAATTTCCAACTTCTTTGTAATTTTAGAAAACGGAAAATTTTCATTTTCCGTGAAAAATTTGGAAAAATAGACAAACTAAACGCGTTTTCAAAATTCTCATTTTTCTTGGAAATTTTTTCCGGAAAACGGCTCATTTTTCCGCAACTAAACGCACCCTAAAAGTCTACACACCATTTCTGGTCCACAGACTCTCACCATTTCTCCAAAGAATGTTTCTGCTGCTTTTCGAAAATATACCCAATTATAGCATTGTACTTTGGAAAATATGCCCAATTATAGCATATTAGTATTACTTTCATTATTTGGATGACATTGCTATAATTGGGCAGATTTTTTAAGTACAACCTGTAATAGGAAGAAATGAAAGTTAGAACGTGATAATAAACAAATCAATGAAAGTACATGCTGTTTATCACATCCTTATTTCTTATTTATCACAATTACACAAACATGATACCTTCAAGTCGCTCTTTCCATGCAGTACTCTTCAACTTAGTAGTGTCTACTTGAATGAGAGATCATATTCTGCTTTATATCTCTTCAAGGGTCATCTCAGATGGCTGCAGCAAGCCAAGCAAGCCATGGTATTTACTATTTAATTAAGACAAAGACATAATGGTTGTATACAACTATACATATACATGTATATAACTCACCTCAACATCTTCAGGTTCAACAGCTTTTTTGGTTTGAGCTGGTCCATCTGCTTTCTTGTCACCACCCGTCGTTGCAGAAGCCACCTTTTTAGGAGCAGGCTTAAAAGCAAAAGAAAAAAATATATAAAAAATAATATCAATACTGAGAAAGCTAATGGTGGATAAGCAGGAGCATCGTTTTCTGTTATAAAACAATGGTTAGAATTTAAAAAATAACTTTTTTTTTACCAAAGTTTAGTATAAAATAATAAATAAATAAACATACTAGGTGGTGGAGGGGTAGGACCAAATCTGTCTAATAAATCCATCATAGGTGAAGGTGATGAAAGGCTGCCTAATGGAGTAACAGAATTATTATTACGAATGGGATTTAAAAGATAAGGAACCTTTGTTTTGAGATGAATATTCTTGTTGATGGCTTCAATGTTTATCCACCTGTAAAGAGATGGGATTAATTATTATTGTAAGAAATAAATAAAAAATAAATAGTGTTTCTTACATGCGACACTCACGAGTTCATTGTATTGGTGATCTTAGACTTTTCTTCTGACTTCATTGTTGCAAAACACATGCAAAAATACTTGATTAGTTCCAATAGTAAATTAAATCAACAAGACAATGTAAATATCATAGAAGTTTATTAATATCATTAAGGTATTGTTATAATATGAATTAATCCAGAAATCATTAAGAACAAATCACTTATTACCACTAACCTCAATTAGGGCACTAGCTTCCCATTCACTTGGAACTTGTGACACCTGTAAATTAGTCAAGTTTTCACTATGGTAAATAAACTATATATAAGAAAAGGGCATTATAGTAATTACCTCCATGCAATACTCAATGTTCTTTTAGATAAGATGATTTAGAATCTCTGGTACATATCATAAGGATCCCAAAATCATATAGTTGGTTATTGTTTAACTGTTTAATTTATAACATTTTTCCCAGGATAAATGATGTTTATAAAAATATTTTTAGAAGCCATACTCAAATATATATCTTAAGTTCATTAAGTCAAAAAGAAACTAACAATTATAAACTTAAAAAGAATACTTGGGTCCACAACTTCAGCCAAATTATCTGAGTTTATCAACAAGATGTACTCTTTACCCTGAAAAGCCTGATTGAGGTAATCTTGTTAAGTCTTATAAATTTAAAAAGTTAATATAAAAAATAAAAAAAATGGTCAACTGGCTTTACCTGTCATAATAATTCATCTAGTTTGCCACTCTTCTTCAAGGAAAGCAAAGCGTCCTTCTGATCAAAAGCATACCTTTTTGCAAAAGGAAGAATTAAAAATAATTATACCATGTAGATATATAAGTCAAGAATGAATGCGAATATGAATATCCTTAGAACATTTATTTTACTCATTAAAGTAAAGAAACAGATAGATCATACAAGGAGGCGAGTCGATCCATTGTTAAAGCATCTGCTTGAACAGCTCCACAGTCCAAAACAAGCTGTGAGACAAGGAAATTGAGTCAAGAAAAGTCAAAGATTGTAATCTGTTAGTAGACCTCTGAGAGTGAAACCCACCTTCCTAAAGGAAAAGTCTTGGAGATTGTACTTCAGTAGTGAACACAAAGTCCGGTGCACCAGTCACCACATGAACAACATTCCCAGCAAGAATGAGGTGGCGAACAACCTGCACAGAGCTCAAAAAGGAAATCAATGATTTGAAGGGGTTTAAATTTAAGACTAGAAAGTGATAAAATCGTGATTAACATATCTACTTCAGTTTCACAAAAAAAGGGTTTAAATTTAAGACTAGAAAGTGATAAAAACACGATCACGGCTAAAACAATAAACCTTTGTTTGTAGTTAACTTCCACCTTCATTCCTCCCCAATAAATCTTTGTCGGTAGTTAACTTCACCGGAGTAGCTGTCTGCAAGATTTAAGGCATGAAATCGATCTTCATTGAGGTGAGACAGTGAGCAAGGCAATTTTAAGCCTGAGTCGCCAGTAAAAAGACGGAAAATTGACGTGCTTATCTGATGGAACTCCGTTTTGCTATGAAGAGACAATTGTTGTGATAATCAAAGATGGAGCGAAGAGGTTCGAAGGTACATGATTAGCAGAAATCAGATACTACAATCGATTTGAAGATGGAAATAATAGGGTGGAAGCATGGCGGCTGGGGAAGGACCAGTGGTCAACGGAAAAGGTGAGGAACAAGATGTTGTATGAGACCGATAAGAAGGAGGCCAGGAGTAGCAGATAAGTGGATCACGAGAGGAGAGAGAAGGAGGGAAAGGGGAGAGTCGATTGTGAAGATGAAAGACAGAAAGAAGGTAGAAGGCGGGTTTTCAAAATTTTGGGAATTTCGTTTCCCGCTGTCTACTTCCTAAACGCGCGTTTCATTAAAATTATAAAGGGACACATATAGAGGACGCACATTTAAGATATAGCGCCCTCCGTGTTTTTAATTTTTTTCTTATGACACTAATTTAAAGGATGCGTGACCTAAATACTTAAATTTTTTGAAGAGATGTCACATTTTTAATGTCACTCTCTTTTGCGTAACATAAATCAATGAGTGTCGTAGTTTGCGCGTCGTAAAAGGGTATTTTTCTTGTAGTAGAATTACATGTGATTCATATGTGAATTACATGTGATTTATATATGAATCACATGTAATTCATATGCGATTCACTTGTGAATTACATGTGATTCATATGTAAATTTCTCATTTTTTAAGATGGATTTGAATAACATTTGACTTATAAGAAGGCCAAGAAGCATTCCCTGAATTTAAGAAGAAAATTTAAAGTATGATTTATCGGTGATTTTGAAAAGTATATAATTAAATAAATGTTTTTAACAAACATACCTATATAATAGGGTTTATATCACTTCTTTCCACCCCATATGCAATAGAACTCAACCTTGTTATTATACATGCAAACATGTCTCCAAAATAAACAACAAATCCAACTGAAACCAAAAGTGCTTCACCTAAAATAGAAACAATTGCTTTAGTTACTAAAATTGTAAAATGACGAAAAAAGAAAGCGAAGAAGAAGAAGATGCTGGAAATGTGTTGAGAACTTGTTGAATGAATTTCACAACTGATACCCCATGACATACAATCCACAAAAAAGTTAATGCCATGTTCCATTCTGCTAGATGCAAAAATTGAAGTACAAGTTTTGAAAAATGGAGTTATGAGGGGTAAATTAGTCAATGAACTCACTGGAAGATGATTTTGCAGCAAAAGATAGATAGCTCACTGTTGTAAACAGGGATATGGAACTAATGTTGAGAAAATACAAAAGGTTATAGTTATTACATCACAATAATGAATGATTTTTGTGTTTGTTCCCTATAATTGAATTATGTGAATTTATGTGTGTGTGCTTGTATGAATGTCGATTCTAACAAGTAAAAGAGAGGATTTAATTTAGAAACTATGCACCTTCAACTCCTACTTCATGCACCAATTTTACCATTTCTATCTAAATTTGGAATCATGCCTCAAAAACTTAAACAAATCAAGTTTTTTTCAGTCCAATGTTCGGATTCCAATGATTATAGGATGGAATGGAACTCACATAGCAAAAAGACAATTTTTGGTCCCTGAGTATAGTTTTTTTGTTTTTTTTTTGCAATTTTGGTCCCAAAAGTTGAGTTATTAAACTTGGAACAGGGACCAAAATTCTTAGGGTCTATAAATGACAAAAAAACCAACTATACTCAAGGACAAAATTTTTAATTTACTCTATTTCTGAATTCAATTCTATTTTGGAGAGAGTAAATTAGATTTTTGGAGGAAAAACTTTACAAAGTAAAAAGCAATGTAATTTACTGGTATTGTAATATTTGGTAAAGTTGTATGTTTTACATACAGACGGCCAGGTGGTGACAAAGTGTACATCATATTCGATAATCAACTTCCTGCTGCCTTAAAAAGATTACAATTTGACAAACAACTCTCCATGGAAAATGTGAGAAAATTAATCACCGAGGTCGATGGTCATCAGCCTCATTTGATATCCCCTATACAAGATAGTGTCATGTTATTCCTACCATTTGTCTCAAGGTGAGGGTGGGTATTTGATAGCTATCAAGAAAATGAGATTACTAATTCATAAGTTTGATAATTTAAAATGTTTATAGAATCAAGATTCAAGAAATGGTCTTACATGAGATTTGAGTGCAGTGGGACGAGATTTAGGAGTTCTAATTTGACCCATGACTGGTTTCTGTGATTCCGATTCCAGTGAAGGAAATAGTGGGGTACCAGAGGGTGTTAAAAGCCTAAAAAAGAAACACTTTCCAGGGAACAATAACACAATGATATCATCTTATCTAAATTTATATCATGTAATACAAATTATTACCAATCATAATCATTTTTATCATTTTCAGAGTTGAGAAATTCATCAGCACCAGTCTTTCTGGCTGGTGTTTGCTGCAGGCATACCAAACATTGGTGAACATACTTCAGTTCATCCTGGGAAATCAATATAATACAGTTTCATTTATTTCAACTTGAAATGGAATCTTTCCTATCCTTGTACAGGGTAATTAGTCAAAAGAATAATTGTAGTTACACAATTTGATAATCAAAATCTTAATCCTCATTAATTTTAGTATTATACTTTTATTATAAACAATACTTCATATATAGGGAAGAAAACACAAATCTTTTTGTGAAATTGACGAGTATAATTGGAAAATAACGATAGCTAAAGTTTTATAAAAGAAAAAAAAATTTGAAAATAATGATTTACCAAGTGATGAATCAAACTCTTCTGAGTTCTGAAGAAGATTGTTTTGCTCTTTTTCTCGTCTTCTCATTTCCAAAAACAACCCTAACTCTTCTTCTTTCTCTTTTACAGACTTCCTGAAACTCCCTGTCATTTGCTGTTGCCGTTGCTTCACAACCGTTGTTCCCGGCATTACCTTCTCCGGTTCATCGCCTCGAACAAACAGTATAAGCAGTTTTACAACCCTTGGAGTCCTAAACCCTAAAAAAACACATTGTATTCACGAAATCCAAAGCACAAGCCTAAATCCTAAATGTCAAGAATCCTAACTTTTAAATTTAAAATACAAATGACTGTGTACTGGAATCCTTAAACTTTAAGCTCCGAATCTAAAAATCCAGTTGAAATGCTTCTTTCAATGCAGGGAAAACAAACTTAAACAAATCAACTTTAGCAATCAATTCATTCACTGTATTGAAAATGAAATGCTAAATTAGAGAGATGAGCAACATAGAAATTTCACATGAGAAGAACTTATCGGAGACGGCGTGGATAGGACGAACGGTGTCGCCAATACAACAGATGTGGAGTCTTGGAGATTGGAGATTGTGAAACCCACCTTTCACATGAGAAGAACTTTTCACATGAGAAGAACTTATCTGAAAGTGAACCCCACCTTCCAAAGGAAAAGTCTTGGAGATTGTACTTCAGTAGTGAACACAAAGTCCGGTGCACCAGTCACCACATGAACATCATTCCCAGCAAGAATGAGGTGGCGAACAACCTGCACAGAGCTCAAAAAGGAAATCAATGATTTGAAGGGGTTTAAATTTAAGATTAGAAAGTGATAAAATCGTGATTAACATATCTACTTCAGTTTCACAAAAAAAGGGTTTAAATTTAAGACTAGAAAGTGATAAAAACACGATCACGGCTAAAACAAAATCGAAAAATAAGAAATTGACCTAGAGAATTATCTCGACAACACGTGTGGCGTGGCCGAATCCATGGACGGTAACATAATAAGTGAATACAAGATGATTTTAAGAAGCTAATAATTCTTCCACTCGTCTTCAATCCTCATCTTCGTTCACGGCGTTTTAGAGTTGAATTACT